GGTTTCAAAGAACATCTTTATTTCTGCCTTCATTTCGTTATGTACCCAGTAGTCATTCAGGAGCAGGTTATTCAGTTTCCATGTAGTTGAGCAGTTTTGATTGAGTTTCTTAGTCCTGAGTTCTCGTTTGATTGCACTGTGGTCTGAGACAGTTTGTTATAATTTCCGTTCTTGTACATTTGCTGAGGAGTGCTTTAATTACAATTATGTGGTCAATTTTGGAATAAGTGTGATGTGGTGCTGAGAAGAATGTATATTCTGTTGATTTGGGGTGGAGAGTTCTGTAGATGTCTATTAGGTCTGCTTGCTGCAGAGATGAGTTCAATTCCTGGATATCCTTGTAAACTTTCTGTCTCATTGATCTGTCTAATGTTGACAGTGGGGTGTTGAAGTCTTCCATTATTATTGTATGGGAGTCTAAGTCTCTTTGTAAGTCTCTAAGGACTTGCTTTATGAATCTGGGTGCTCCTGTATTGGGTTTGTATATATTTAGGATAGTTAGCTCTTCCTGTTGAATCGATCCCTTTACCATTATGTAATGGCCTTCTTTGTCTCTTTTGATCTTTGATGGTTTAAAGTCTGTTTTATCAGAGACTAGTATTGCAACCCCTGCTTTTTATTGTTCTCCATTTGCTTGGTAGATCTTCCTCCATCCCTTTATTTTGAGCCTATGTATGTCTCTGCATGTGAGATGGGTCTCCTGAATAGAGCAAACTGATGGGTCTTCACTCTTTATCCAGTTTGCCAGTCTGTGTCTTTTAATTGGAGCATTTAGTCCATTTACATTTAAGGTTAATATTGTTATGTGTGAACTTGATCCTGCCATTATGATATTAACTGGTTATTTTGCTGATTAGTTGATGCAGTTTCTTCCTAGCCTCGATGGTCTTTACATTTTGGCATGTTTTTGCAATGGCTGGTACCGGTTGTTCCTTTCCATGTTTAGTGCTTCCTTCAGGGTCTCTTGTAAGGCAGGCCTAGTGGTGACAAAATCTCTAAGTATTTGCTTATCTGTAAAGGATTTTATTTCTCCTTCACTTATGAAACTTAGTTTGGCTGGATATGAAATTCTGGGTTTAAAATTCTTTTCTTTAAGAATGTTGAATATTGGCCCCCACTCTCTTCTGGCTTGTAGAGTTTCTGCCGAGAGATCTGCTGTTAGTCTGATGGGCTTCCCTTTGTGGGTAACCCGACCTTTCTCTCTGGCTGCCCTTAAGATTTTTTCCTTCATTTCAACTTTGGTGAATCTGGCAATTATGTGTCTTGCAGTTGCTCTTCTCGAGGAGTATCTTTGTGGTGTTCTCTGTATTTCCTGAATTTGAATGTTGGCCTGCCCTACTAGGTTGGGGAAGTTCTCCTGGATGATATCGTGAAGAGTGTTTTCCAGCTTGGTTCCATTTTCCCCCTCTCACTTTCAGGCACCCCAATCAGACATAGATTTGGTCTTTTTACATAATCCCATACTTCTTGAAGGCTTTGTTCATTTCTTTTTCTTCTTTTTTCTTTAGATTTCTCTTCTCACTTCATTTCATTCATTTGATCCTCAATCGCTGATACTCTTTCTTCGAGTTGATCGAGTCGGTTACTGAAGCTTGTGCATTTGTCACGTATTTCTCGTGTCATGGTTTTCATCTCTGTCAGTTCTTTTATGGCCTTCTCTGCATTAATTATTCTAGATATCAATTCTTCCACTCTTTTTTCAAGATTTTTAGTTTCTTTGCGCTGGGTACGTAATTCCTTCTTTAGCTCTGAGAAGTTTTATGGACTGAAGCCTTCTTCTCTCATCTCGTCAAAGTCATTCTCTGTCCAGCTTTGATCCGTTGCTGGCGATGAGCTGCGTTCCTTTGGAGGGGGAGATGTGCTCTTATTTTTTGAATTTCCAGCTTTTCTGCCCTGCTTTTTCCCCATCTTTGTGGTTTTATCTGCCTCTGATCTTTGATGATGGTGATGTACTGATGGGGTTTTGGTGTGGGTGTCCTTCCTGTTTGTTAGTTTTCCTTCTAACAGTCAGGACCCTCAGCTGTAGGTCTGTTGGAGATTGCTTGAGGTCCACTCCAGACCCTGTTTGCCTGGGTATCACCAGGAGAGGCTGCAGAAGATAGAATATTGCTGAACAGCGAGTGTACCTGTCTGATTCTTGCTTTGGAAGCTTCCTCTCAGGGGTGTACTCCACCATGTGAGGTGTGGGGTGTTGGTCTGCCCCTAGTGGGAGATGTCTCCCCGTTAGGCTACTCAGGGGTCAGGGACCCACTTGAGCAGGCAGTCTGTCTGTTCTCAGATCTCAACCTCTGTGTTGGGAGATCCACTGCTCTCTTCAAAGCTGTCAGACAGAGTCATTTGCGTCTGCAGAGGTTTCTGCTGCTTTTGTTGTTGTTGTTGTTGTTGTTGTTGTTTAGTTGTGCCCTGTCCCCAGACGTGGAGTCTACAGAGACTGGCAGGCCTCCTTGAGCTGCTGTGAGCTCCACCCAGTTTGAGCTTCCCAGCGGCTTTGTTTACCTACTTAAGCCTCAGCAATGGCAGGCACCCCTCCCCCAGCCTCGCTGCTGCCTTGCGGTTAGATCGCAGACTGCTGTGCTAGCAATGAGGGAGGCTCCCTGGGCATGGGACCCTCCCGGCCAGGTGTGGGATATAGTCTCCTGGTGTGCCCATTTGCTAAGACCCTTGGTAAAGCGCAGTATTGGGGTGGGAGTTACCCGATTTTCCAGGTGTTGTGTGTCTCAGTTCCCCTGGCTAGGAAAAGGGATTCCCTTCCCCCTTGCGCTTCCCAGGTAGGCGATGCCTCGCCCTGCTTCAGCTCTCGCTGGTCGGGCTGCAGCAGCTGACCAGCACCGATTGTCTGGCAACCCCTAGTGAGATGAACCAAGTACCTCAGTTGAAAATGCAGAAATCACCTGTCTTCTGTGTCGCTCGCGCTGGGAGCTGGAGACTGGAGCTGTTCCTATTTGGCCATCTTGCTCCGCCCATATATTTTTTTTTTTTTTTGAGACGAAGTTTTGCTCAGGCTGGAGGGCAGTGGTGTGATCTTGACTCACAGCAACCTTCGCCTCCTGGATTCAAGCAATTCTCCTGCCTCAGCCTCCTGAGTAGCGGGGATCACAGGCATGTGCCACCATGCCTGGCTAATTTTGTATTTTTAGTAGAGACGGGGTTTCTCCGTTTTGGTCAGACTGGTCTCGAACTCCCAACCTCAGGTGATCCACCCACGTTGGCCTCCCAAAGCTCTGGGATTTCAGGCATGAGCCACCGTGCACAGCCAAATCTTCAAATTTTTTAAAAATTTACTTCTAGTTATATTTACTCTTAAAAAATATTGAAATATTTTCTAAGTTGTAAATGTTATATTTATAAGAGAAATGTATTAATACAACAATTTTTAGTTTCCAGATCTCATTAGGATTTTTTTAAGTTATATGTGTTAAAAAAAGAAGAATGAGATGAAGTATAAAAGAGATACAGAGTTGGGATATAAACCTAAGCATAAAGAATATACACATCCTATTTTTTTTACTATAATCCCCTTTTGCTCTAATAAAATACTTTTCACTGATTAGAAGCCCAAACTTGCTTATACTTTCTCCTAATGTATCTGAAGAGCAAATAATTTTGCATAATTTCATGTCTTGTTTGATTACACACAGTGAAAGTTCAGTGCAAGTAGAACATTTTATTTTTTTTTAATTTCTCTCTACTACATTTTTGTAATTTATAAATCTTGAAGTGTTATGGAATAGTCCAAGTTTTTCAATCATTGTTTTATTTCTCACTAGGATATCGTGCCAATTGTTTTTCAGGAAAAATTTGCATATTAATTTTTTCTCATTGTATCTATTATAAGATGAACTTTGTAGCAAAGCAAGGTTTTAATGTGGTCTTTTGGCAGAATGTACAAAACTGAAATAAAGAGAACGTATTTGGAACTATGATAGGCTTCATGAAAATCTTTTCTGAGAGAGAGAAAGAGAGAGAAAATAATTAATGTGTAATGCCCAGCCCATCCAAACTCTGGCAAAATTTGAAATACATAGTTCAAACTTCTTTACTTATAGTGAAAGTCCTTAAAATGCGTCTTGATAGTCTTTTGGGACCACTCTTTGTAGATTTGACATATTCATGAAAAGAAAACAAAGGGCACAAAGAAAAAAAAGTTTCTAGTAAAACATCTATTCTCATCCTGACATAGGCATCAAATTACTCTCTCCATAAGCAGTTGTAATAAACGAATATTGATTTAGTACAGGACTTCTAAATATTAATTTTTTTATGAATTCTCAGTTACTTTTTTTTTTCTAGCTTTTAAGCCATTTTCCTGACTCTGTGTAAATTGTTCACACAAATAGGCAAAGGAATAAAGCAATTTAACCAAAGTGGGGAAACAAACAATTTTAAGTGTAGGTAGCAGAAGACAATGGATTTTTTTCAAGTTATTCTATACCAAAGCCGCATGGATCTATTTTAAGACACTTTTACACAACAAAAGGAGATTTGCTGTCACTAACCCTAGTCATTTGGCTTTCTAAATACTGGTAAATGCTGGAAAATTGGAATTCTTTGTTTCTGTTTTCTCTAAAAGTAAGCCACTCTTACTTTTAGGCACCCAGTGAATTAGGTGTCATCTCTTATATATTGTTCCTAATGGAATGTGAGGACGGCTTTTAAGAAGGTGCCAGATGTGTGAGTCGTTTATTGCTGAGCAAGTGTTGCTTCTGTTTCTGAGGCTATGAAAAGGGTTCGCATGAAGAAATACAGCTATCATTTATATGTGACTAGCAGAATATATTTAAGGGACATATTCCTGTTTTATTAGAGGCAAGCCTTGAGATAGAAATCAAAAGATTATAATGAAAAATATGGCATGAAATAATAAATTAAAAATGAGAATTGTTTGTTGATTCTAATGTATCTTCAGGAGTTGGAATGGCAGTGGAGGAGAGGAATGAGCTAATATAAATGCATGTTCTTAAATAAATATGCTCAATATGCTTGCTTTATTTTTTTAACAGGATGAAAGAAGCAGGAGTAGACCATAGGCAATGGAGGGGTCCCATATTATCCACCTGCAAGCAGTGCCCAATGGTCTATCCCAGCCCTGTTTGTGGTTCAGATGGTCATACCTACTCTTTTCAGGTAAAGACACCTATAGTTGTTTAGTATGAAATAAGTGATGCATACGTATTAGGAAATGATTAAAACTATTGGTTATCTAATGTGATAATTCAAATTACTCATTTACATTATAAAATAATATGAATAATCTCACTGGTTTGGAATATGATCCAATATGTATTTGTTTTTTCCATATCAGAATTTTTAAGGTTTGAAATACTAAAACTATGAACCCTCAAATATCAAAGCCAACCTTTCCTTTGCTGCTACTGTGAAAGGTGCCGGAAATGTTAGCGTGCTGTACAATAGCTTTAGTGATCAATATTATTTTAACAACAATAAATGTGCTACAATCTGTCACTACAATTACTTTTTTTAATCTCATATTTTATCTCCTATATTATCTCATTTAAGCCACCAAAAAAAACCTCTTTACCAGATGAAAAAACGGGATCAGAAAGGCAATTTGGCAAGTTTCACATATTTAGTTGACACTGAAGCCAGGATTTGATATCATCTCTGATTCAATGCCTTTGCTCTCTCATCTACATTATTCTTCCTCCCAATTAAGTGTCCCATATTGTTAAAATATTTTGGGATTTTTACAAACTTTGCCTAAATAAGACATTGATAAATTTCCTTAGCTTATGTAACAGAAAGGAAAGAGTTCAGACTCACTGTCTTTTATCTGAAACCCTAGGGACTGGATACATTTAAAAATTTAGATTTAAGAAATATATATTTTAGACAGGTAGTGTAGCATATTATGCAGTGTCCCTAGAAGAAGTTTACCCTATAATTAAATTATTAAACCAGGTGCAGTGGCTTATACCTGTAATCCTAGCACTTGGGAGGCCAAGGTGGGCAAATCACCTGAGTCAGGAATTTGAGACCAGCCTGGCCAACATGGTGAAACCCCATCTCTACTAAAAATACAAAAATGCGTCAGGCATGGTGGTGGGCGTCTGTAATCCCAGCTACTCGGGAGGCTGAGGCAGGAGAATCACTTGAACCAGGGAGGCGGATGTTGCAGTGAGCTGCGCCATTGCACTCCAGCCTGAACAACAAGAGCAAACCTGTTTCTAAAAACATAAACATGTTAATATCCTTTTAAGCAACAATTTGAATATTCTTATTAAAGAGTATACATGAGATCTATAAATAACCTTTTCTTAGTTCATATCTGATTGTGCTTACTGCAAAGTTATGTCCAGAATTTTTTTACCTTTTATTAAAATGCTTTGGTTTTGTGGATACCTACTTATGAATCACAATTTGTCTGAGCAAATATTTCCCCAAAACTTCCACTTGCCTTTTACAATTACAAATCTGGGCAAGTGCACTACAATACTCTTAATTAATTCAGTCACTAAATACATACATAGTACATACTAGGTGCCAAGTACTGTGTATCCTTAGTGAAGCTGTCTTATGTCTACCTGCTAAACTTTCATAGATGTATACAGAAGCAGAGTTATTGCTAGGAGAGGAGTGTGTCAGGGGTCCTTTCAACATGGTCTTGATCTTGGTGAATTTAACATGGTATAGGTAGGGCTTTGGCTTTGTAAGTTTAGTGAATTCATGTTGTCAGTACAAGGGAGAGTGAATCTATCTCATATTATAAAATCCCATGTGGAAACGATGTATAAATCATTTTACTGATTTATTGACTTATAATGAAGGATGCAGATTGTAATATTCAAACTGATGGGAAGAGCTACAGAGGAAGCAAATTTTAATCCTAATTTTATCTGGTGATTGTAGATGATTGAACAAATGGAGTCAGTGGTAGAGAGATTGGAAATTTTTACTGGCATCCACCTAAGTAGAACTATGTCTTTCTCAACATTGGAAATACGTGCCAGAAGTTTGTGCCTAGGGTGTCATCATTCCCAAAGAGTGCTAACAGAAGTCTACTGGCTTCTGCTGACATTTTTGGGACTCTTTTTAGGTTGCTCTTAGCAGGTGATCCTTCGTTTTCTAATTTAGTTTCATACGACACCAAGTTACAATTAGAAGTGGAATTCTATTTGATGAGACTTGATTGATGATGTTAGAGTTACTTAGCATGTAAGAAATAGCCCTCGGATTCTCATTCAAGACTAAAAGCACCTATTATACGTAGATTAATTCAGGTATATCTTCAATTTTATGGGGTTTCCTCATTGTTTGCCTTGGGCATGGGGCACACTGTGATACCTTGGCTTATAAATCATCTAATCTTATTAGTATTATCAACACAACCAATCTTATAGATAATTCATATTTGAATTATTATTTTGATATTCATTTGCATAAATGTCACTTTTAACAAATGCTTTCTTTACATAGAAAGACATTACACAAAGCATGATTCAAGTGAATATAGGTCTCGAATAACCCTAAATCACCATTTTTGTTTCTGTTAATTCTAATCTAACTTAGTGAGTTTTCCACTTTGGACCATCCATCCTAATATTAAACTTTGGCATTGACAGCGATGAGACTGAGCTGTATAAAACAATGAAAACTGAGTAGAACTCTTAACCCAGTAAAAATTTAGGTGAAACTATCCTTACTAATCTTTTCTTAAGAGTTTATTTGATTTGAATCTCAAATTAATGACTTCAACTTGTTGGTGATTTTTTGTTTCTCCCTCATAAGAAAGTATTGCCCTAGGCTATTTAGCTACTGGATCAAGAACAAAGACCACAGAGGCCAGTACCTTCTTGTAAATGTCATCTTATTATGTTCCCAACATCTGCTTATGAGAGTTGAAAATAGAATATAGGTAAGAGATCACAAGATCTTTCTTCTGGCTCTTGGATCACTAAATTTTGTCAATAAACTTGCAAATTATGACAGGGCTGATGTAAACACATTCAAACAATAATGATGAGCTCAAATTCTAAGCTCAGTGGGGTCCATGAAGCTCTTGCTTGAAGTTGTAAATCCTCCCCTCTGTTGTACTGATATGTTAAAGATAAACCAGAAGCCAGATATGATGAGTCTTGGATGTGGGGCCCTACATTCAGTGTGGAAGTGTGATCTTGCTGTGGAAGCCTTCCTATTCATCTGCTGAATTGTCGACCCATGCATTGATACAAAGGGGTTTTTTAACACTACAAATAATATTCCTACAAGTTCTATTTTAGACCCACAATGTTTGTTCATTACTTTCAGCTCATTTTATAGAGAGAAGATTATACATGATATTTCCATTGCACATCCTAACTGGAGGTGAGGTCATTACGAAGTACAATAGGTGCAGGAGCTGGGGGATGTGGTGGGAAAGAGGGATATCAGAAGGTACACAAAGAAAGACTGTAGCCAAATGACATAACTAAGATATAATTTTGAAAGGTAAACTTCATTATGCAATGTGACCAATTTTGAATAATTATTTTATTTGAGTTCAAGCTTTTAAGTTAATTGGCATTTCTAGAAATCTTCAGCAGAGTATTTTAAAAATGCATACACAAAAAGAAAAATGAATAGATGAGGAACTATGGATAAATAGGCTTACTTGAAAAAATATTGGGACATTTGTGATTTTCATGAAAAGTATTTTTGGAACGTTGTCTTTTTTCCTATTAAGAAAAAATGATTTACTTTCTTTAGAAGCCTATTTAATCTTTCTTTTTAAAAGAACCAGTCTTCTCTGAATTCTTTCAAATTTAGCAATGCCAGAAAAATCAAAATATAAGTCTGTTCAAGGTTGTTTGAGAGGTAATCATTCTTGAAATTGACACAAAAGATGAAGGCCTTCATTTCTTTACTTCAGGCAAAGTCTATTTTGATTGTATTGTCAAGCTTCAGTAAGAACTAGGAATTGTTCTTCAATACAGCATTTATGTTAGATCATGGATATATTTCTCACTTTGTTATGTAAAATGTACATTACATTTGCCGTGAGCACAAGTCAATAAATAATACTAATGTTTCAGACTTGAGTAGAACATGTGTAATATAAATTCCCAGAGGACAACAGTGGGTGATTTTAAACTCTTTTCTATCATGTTTTTAGTGATGCGCTGCTTGGCAATTGAACTAAACAATCGTGAATTCCTTAGAAATGAGTATTGTTCATAAAATTGTGTGTGCGTGTGTGTGTGTGTGTGTGTGTGGTTTTGAAGGAAGGCAAATATAAAGCTTACCTATTTTAGACTGCAGTTTTCCAAATCCAGCTGTAAAGATGCTACTTAACTTGATTTGGAATAGGGTCCCATGAATTGGAATTTTTAAAACTTCTCATGTGACTTTTATGTGCAGCCATGGCTGAGAATCGCGTGCATCCCTTCAAATTATTGCCTTTGAATACTTAAATAAAAGACAGGGGTGTGTGTGCGCGTGTGTGTGTGAACAATAACATTAGCCTTGAAGGAGAAGGCCTAATTTTTTTATTACTATTCAAACAATTTCTATTTTCTTTTCTTTTTTTTTTTTGAGACGGAGTCTCACTCTGTTGCCCAAGCTGGAGTACCATGGCACAATCTAGTTCACTGCAAGCTCTGCCTCCCGGCTTCACGCCATTCTCCTACCTCAGCCTCCCAAGTAGCTGGGACCACAGGCGCCCGCTACCACACCTGGCTAATTTTTTTTTTTTTTTTTTTTTTTTTTTTTTTTGTATTTTTAGTAGAGATGGGGTTTCACTGTGTTAGCCAGGATGGTCTCGATCTCCTGACCTCATGATCCACCCACCTCAGCCTCCCAAAGTGCTGGGATTACAGTCGTGAGCCTGCACCTGGCTCAAAAAATTTCTATTTTAAGTTTCAACATGCTACTATAATGTTTTAACCTTTCTGTCATTTATTTTTTTCCATATTTGAGGCATGTTCTTACTTTCTCTTAATAGTTACTAATTCTAGCAACTATATGCACATTTTGAGAGGTAGATAATTTCTGACTCCTAATCATGAGAAATTTGATATGTCATACTTTTTAGTGTTTAGTTGTTCTATCTTCTTTCCTCTGAATATTTAGAGCTGAGATCATTTGATTTTGGAAGATCCACTATCAGAAACGGATGTGCACTCTTTCCA